CCACAAGATAGTATTGATGAATCTGGGGAAACAGTGCCCACCAGGGAGTTGTTGCAGTTGGAATAGTACATCTAGCTCCATCCTTAGCAAAAGGTATACTGAAGATGGATGATGAATTTGACACGGGATTTCTCCTCAGTGAGGAGGAACAAATGTGACAAAGATTAAGTAGTTCATTGTTTCATTCCTGGATAATTTTATGTGAACAGTGCTTTAAGAATACAGTGAGACTCCCTTCTGCAAACCTGTCACTTGCTCTCTATGAAAGTGTAACTTTCAGGTTCACAAGACAGGTTCAATAGTGCTTAAACCCACTAACATTTTTCTTAATGTGCTCAGTGGTGGGGGTACAACAGAGACTCATGTAACCTTATCCATTCTCTTCTGTATTGGTGCTGTGACATAAATAAAAATTTTTGTTTCAATATGAGGTAGGGATGGAAAAGTGGTTTCCAACTATGTAAATAGCTTTAAGGAAGGTGTAGAAGCATGACTTAAATAGACACTGTGTTTTGTTTACTTTTCTTGCTTTTATAGAATAATTGGCAATGTCATTTAAATATTGCATTCATATTAGTCTCTTAACATTTTTAAGAGATAATACCGGAGGTGGTAGATACAAATACAAAATGAATATGTTTTTATGTGCAGTAGGGTGACGTGAAGATAGTAAAAGAAGGGAAAATCTGGAGTTTCTCTTTGCCTGTAGGTATTATAGGTAAGCAATGGCACTGCAGAGGTGGTAGTGAAATTAGTATTACTGGCTTGTTAAATTTTAATGTGATCACTTGGGAAATAAGGCTATATGGGTAATTCAACAAATACTGTGTACTGCTAGCGAGCTTGTCATACAGCTGTGAGAAGCTTGTTGTGGGACTTGGATTTCTATGCAGTGGGAATTATCATGTGTCTATGGGTTCCTGTAGGTTTGTTGCTAGAGGTTATTTGATTAAGAGGAATCGTGACCCACAGAAAAGCTCCACTTCATGTGTTGTAACAGTGACGCTTTCACTCAGCACTAGTGTCTGCCCTCTCTTTTACCAGGGAGAAAATGGTATCTTTTAAGAAGTTTCTTATATAAAGGGAAATTAAGCCTTGCTTAAGGCCACCCATATCTAAAATTACTTCTATGGGAGGCCGTGGCAATTCCATTTTGGTTTCACACATCCGGGAATTAATAAAGTGTCAGAACTGTAGATAGGTACATAAAAAGTGCAAGGAGAAATTAATAGTGCTCTAAATCAAGTCTCTGCTCTACAGGTTTCAGCCATGTATCTAATTCCAGAATTTGTCCAAAGTTTAAAATTAGAATCTGAAGATTTGCAATGCACATACGGTCGTTCATGATGGATGGTCATTCAACAGCTGGAAACAGATCTGTCATTTTCCATGAGCATCTTCAAACCCAGCTGAACGCAGAGGAGAATGTCTGTTCTGAGCGTTGAGAGGTTTTGTGTCTGTTGGCTTTTAGTGTTGTCCCTTTCTGATGCACAATTAATTTTATCTACGCTGCTAGTCCCTATGAAGTGAAGCAGACATGGAATGGCACACAATTCTTCTGCACCAACCTGCATTTCAGACCCTTTTACTATTACCAGTTGCTTACAGGAATATATATGTTATAAGAGGAAGCAGAGGTAATAAACTTATTTTATACATGCATGATGCTAATGTGAGAAGAAACTTTTAGTAAATACCAAAATGTAATTAATGTAGTCATGAGAAGGAAGTAAAATTTTTTTATTTAGAGTAAAAAGAAGTGACAGGTCCCTCACTGAGTCTTTCTTAATGTTAATTAAAAATAGATATCTATTTTTGTATTTCTCTTTCTGTAAACATGGACAGAAGAAAATAACTAATTCTACTATTTGAGAAAGAATGAATAACTACTGTGATATTGGGATCCCTCTTAAGTTTGATAGATATTTTTAAGTTTAGAATTGTATTTTAAAGATATGTGCTAATATAGAAGACTTAGAGAAAATTTTTTTAATGATAAAAATTTAATATTGAAAAGATAATTGCCTAACACACTCAATAATAACAGCCAGTCATACAACAATCTACTGTGGTCAAATTACATTTCAAAAAGATAAGCTTCTGTCACGTTCTGGAAGAGCAAATGGCATCTGATACACATCGTATCATCAGAGCAGCTGAACAGCCTTCCTGAGAGAACATTATATGCTGGACTCCAACGAATGGCATAGATAGGTCTGCAAAATGTGGAAATCTGATAAACTTTTTTTCACTACTCAAGCAAATCTCTTCTGCCTGGAGTATCAAGATACATTTCAATCTTGCTCCCTAGCAGCATTTGTAGTAATAATTTGAAAACAACTATAAAATCTATGTGGAATTGCCGCACACATTAAAAATTCAAGCAGATTAATTTCAATGGTGGCTTTTGACAATTTACAAAACACCAAAGTGTTATAGGAGGCTGGGTCACATCAAGTTTCAGAGGCACTTCAATATAGATATATATATACACACACACACATATGTGCTTTTTTTTTTTTTTTCCTTCAGCCTCCCTCAATCTTTAAACCAGTGCTTGTTTCAGATTTTCGATCTGGAAATCTGATTGTGTAAGAAACTAAATCTTTTTTTAAAAAAGCTATTCATAGGAACACACCATCAGAATTTCAAATTGTTCCAGTTTTAAGAAGTTAAAATAACATATTAAGGCTGTCTTAAGACTCATGGTGTTGTGCTAAGAGAAAGGATGGTTTCAGAAATGTGTCTTTGTTTTCCATTATTTGCTTTTCTGGTTGTCTGTATAGATCTTGATGATAGTGGAAAAGCCAGCACTTGATATGCATGGTACAGACCTTTCAGTAATTAACATCTACCAGAAACTTCTCTGTGGTGTTCTTTTGATGTTCTGTCACATATTGAGTATTGAGGCAAAACATTCAATAAATCTCACCTTCTTGAACTATATTGCACTTTCAGTTTAGGTTATTTATTATTTGTATGGTGTACAATGTATGCTGTGCATTGATTTGGCCTTTGCTAAAGAAAGGTAGCCATCTACTGCTGTTTCCTTCTCTTCGTTCAGTGGCATGTGGATTTAGAGTAAAGAGTTTGCCTCAAATGATTTGGAAATAGCTGTTTAGTTAGCATGCCCTACAATTAGTAAAAGTTCAATTAAGTGTTAATAAATAAGGGATTATCCATCATCTTTAGATGTATGGTCTTCTGATACTGTATTCAACTTGTATACACCAAATTACTGTAGAACAGTTATCTGCATCATACACATTTTATATTTAGTACAATCTATCAAATACCCAGTGCTTGTGTGTTCTGAATTCTGTGCTTGAATTTAATATCTTCTTCCTACCCTTGTCTCCTTCTCACAGAAATGGCCTTTTTCTCTTATTGGTTTGACCTAACTACCCAGGGGTTTTATTTCATATGGCTACTTTCTAAACATATTTGCATTCTTGCATTTTGGGTTTATTTACTATGTATTGCTACATATCAATTGGTTTTTGTTCTATTCTCTGTTGTTTGGGTGCCTTTTTTGCATATAGAACATCCTGATTGGCAACCTTTATAATAGAGACTTTTTTTCACTCCTGTTAATGTCTTTTTAGCCTAAGAAGGCCTTTTTCAGAGTTACCATCCTTGCTCTTGAAAATACTCTCATTACAATTGTTCCTGTTTTCTTTCCACTGATGTAAGTTGGTCACATCTGCTCATGGCTCTGTAATCAGGCATTCTGTATTAAAAGTAGCTAAAATGTATATGGAGTCAGAACTGTGAGAAAGAGGCATGCAAAATGGCCTCAGAACAGAAAATGGTGTTCATTACTACGTGTCCTCTGGACTTCTTGTTTAACACATCCTCCAGCAGGTAGTTGCAACCCCTGTTTTTGCCTCGCATCACTGTGGCTCGTTTATTTGTTCCTACTGTAGTGGATCATAGAATGGTTTGGGTTGGAAGGGACCTCAAAGATCATCTAGTTCCAACCCCCCTGCCATGGGCAGGGACACCCTCCACTAGACCGTGTTGCCCAAAGTCCCATCCAACCTGGCCTTGAACACTTCCAGGGATGGGGCATCCACAGCTTCTCTGGGCAACCTGTTCCAGTGCCTCACCACCCTCGTGAAGAATTTCTTCCTAATGTCTAATCTAAATTGACCCTCCTTCAGCTTAAACCCATTACCCCTTGTCCTGTCACTACACTCCCTGATAAACAGTCCCTCTCCAGCTTTTTCTGTAGGCCCCTGACCTATTCATCTCCTGTGAATCCTGGACCAGCGGCTGGAACAACGTGAACACATGCGATTCTGCTCTGATCTCCTCCCATTTTGCACTGCTACAAAATGCTATATTGGGTGATGGGCGATGTCATATGTACATAGACCATATGGTGTTTTCTCCTCAATCTACAGTTGGCTTGTTCATCATGCATTGTAATACTTTGCTATATGTGTCTAAGTTCAGTTTGTCTTTCAGAAGCTGTTTTTATTTGCTAGAGTTAGACAAGTGTACTTACATGGAGAACTTAATTTTGCAATAAACAGTTACTGGTAGTAAAGGATATGACATAATGCTATAGATTCAACTGAAGATAGCCCTGAAAAGGAAAATGTTAAAACAACGTCTGAATCCTTATTGTTAACGAATTGAGCAACGTAACTTATGAATTCATGTCTTCATTAACATCAGTATGGGGAATGAAGCTTGGAAAACTTGCCTCCCCAAGAGTTATGTTTTCATGAGCACTGAATTTTGCCTTTAGACAGGGAGAAGCACATTAAATGCGTGCTAATTATGAGTTTTGCAGCAACTTGACTGCTATCTTGAGGTCTGTGCCTGTATCCATATTCTGCATTCTTTGAATTCATCTTGGTATAATATTTTTAAATATTTTAAACAGCAGATGTGCATTGCTTATAGATTTGTGTAAATGTTGATGCACTGTATACAAAATATGTCTCCCATACAATGATCTGTTGACATTATTCTCTGTTGCTTAGCTTCAGACAGTAAAGTCATGACATGTGCTGCTGTTTGGAGGATGCCGAAGGAATTGGAATCAGGCAGTCATGAATCCCCTGATGATTCATCAAGCAACACTCAAACCCTGGAGCTACTCTGTCACCTTGACAACACAGCCCATGGCAATATGGCCTGGTAGGATTCTGCATATTTTATACTCCTAGAAACAGCCTAAAGGATAGACCTGTGCTGTTAGATTTGTGCAGATTTATGTTATAGAAGCTATGCTATACACTTTAAAACTATTCCATCTTTAAAAAAAAAAAAAGGTACAAATTGGATTTTTAGTCCCAGATGTTTCATAGATTAAAAACATTTATTATAGTCCTGCAAACACATATGGAGTAACAGCCTGTGTACTGTTTTAATGTGTTTCTGCCCACCTGCCCCCATCTAAAACCTTTGTTGCTCAAAGGTATAATACTTAGCATTTCAATCTTTTTATAGAATATAAATTTGATGGTGCACTTCAGTCTTTGTTTTTCAGTCTTCACTCAACTGATTTGGCATAAGTACAAGTAATTTATTATTTGTTAAGGATAAGAATTCATTACATTATATGATGCCCGTTTAACTACTCTTCTGTTGCCTAAGAAAAGACAAGGAGAGCTACAGTACTGCAGAGGGTATTACAGAGGTTTGTTTCCCCTTCCCTTCTGTTATTTAAAAGAAAGTTAAATTTGTTGGTTGTGTATTTGCAAGTTCTTTGCTTTGTGGGTATATATATGACATGTTCCCACTGCTGCTGAACAGATGCAGGGCAAAGAAATGTTAATACACTCAGTCTATATTTTAGCAAGTACAATGTTGTTTGACATAATTTTGGAACCACCTGACCATCTTCCACTGGCAGGAAAAGTTGAAACCATAAGAATATGGTCTGCTGTAGTCCCAGGAATGTCTGTCTGTCTGAAAGAGTGCAGAGTAGGAGGTGATCATGCAAGTTGTACAGTCCCTTTCACAATTGTCAGAGAATTTTAAGAAACAAATGTGGAATAAGCCAGCAGATTTTTGTAAATGAAATGTGACAACTCTGAACTGAAACTGAACAAGGGTAACGCAACATCAATGTTGGATATTGCTGTAAGTGTCTTAGATGAGAGTGGAAAAGGCCTTGTTGGTTTCTGTATTCAGACGCCTGCTGTGGAAGGTATCCATCATAATCTCATTATACTTAAATATATTCTAGTAGGAGTAATTTTAAATTATATCAAAAGGGAACAATACTTAAAATCAGTCTCAGTTCCTTTTCAAAATCTGGCCACATAAAAATTTCTATTCATTAGCTAGCTAGTAAAAGCTTGAGAAGTGATAGTTAATTCAGTTGATTTTAAATTGTCATATGTTGTACTGTAAGTTTTAAGCATCTATTTCTAGCCATTGATTTCTAGTTTAAGCCTTGTAGATTAAATCTTGACTAAAAAAAAAACATAAATAGAAGGTAATATTTATGAGGTGGTTCTTGGACAAGATTGCACATATCTGTGTATTCAAAAATGTGTTGTCTAGGCTATTTTTTTTTCTCTAAAATCTCTGCTTCCTGAGTGTTAAATTTCTTCATGGTAGTATCTTTTAGTTCTTTGCTACTCATTTTCATATGAATACTTCTCTTTATAACTCTTTGATTATATTAAACAATTTCCTTTTTATTGTTGAAATGTTTTGATAATTAGTTTCCAATATAGTTGGGAATATTATTTTTTGTTTGTTTTAATCTTCACCTTTTACCCCTTAAGATTTGTACTTTTTGTCTTTGAATTTTCCATAATCTATTTCTGTGTGATGCTGGGATGCTAGAACTCTGTGTAGCAGCCTGATCACCAGAGCAGGAATAGGGGGCATATCACTGCTTTATATCAGGATGTGAATTTATGTGAATGGCAAAAATCATTTTTTTCCTCTAATATAGCTTGTAGCAAGTTGATGTGCAATTTTCTGTCTCCTGTTGTCTGATTTTGTTCAGTACTAGTGCTCACAAATATCTACTACCACATAATACCCATTATCTATGTATGTGTATATATATGTACAAGTAAAGATTTCAAAATATCCTATGTTATGGAGAGATAAAAGGTATACATGGAATACTTGGCATTAGTACCCCTCATGTCATCTCAGGCAAGCACAGCTGACTTAGAGGATCTTGTTCTAGAGCAGGCGTTTCTATTTCTGCCTCAATCGTAGTGGAAACAGCTCACATAAATGAGTAAAATAAATGTTTTATTACAAATGGGTGTCACTTAACAGGCCATGTCCCACTGAGTGTTGTGTTGACTATGAATAGCGACTTAAATAGTCTTTTCTATACACATTTCAGATGTTTAGAAAAATAGGAAACTACTTGAGACACTTATGGTACAATTGTTGTTAGAACCAACCACAAATCAGAAAAGCAATTTTCCTCAATGAAAAGTGTCAATACTTTTCAAACTTACGTAATAACAACATTCTGGTGTACACAATTGCTTTGTAGGAGATCAGTGGTGGTCTGGCATCATACGCTCACCGTAAGAAGCGCAACGCTTATTCTGGCTCTGTCATTTGCTTTGCCGTTAGAGCATACTCTTGTGCACTTTACTCACAAAACACAGGTTGAACAGTGAACCCAGGGGCTCAATGTGACAATGTGCACTTTAAGCAGGCTGTTTAATCCACAGAGCACAGCAGAGCAATGTACCACAAGCACCACCCTCGTTGAGGGTGTGTCCTGGTTTTGGCTGAGATAAAGATAATTTTCTTTCTAGTAGCTGGTATAGTGCTGTGTTTTGGATTTAGGATGAGACTAGTGTTGATAACACTCTGATGGTTTTAGTTGTTGCTAGGTAGTTGTAGTGTCTATACTAAGTCAAGGACTTTTCAGCTTCTCACTGTGCCCTGCCAGGTGCAGAAGAAGCTGGGAGAGCACAGCCAGGACAGCTGACCCAGACTGGGCAAAGGGACATTCCCTGCCACAGAACGTCATGCTCCGGATAGAACTGGGGAAGCTGGCTGGGAGGTGGGATCACTGCTTGGAAACAGACTGGGCATCAAGTTATTTGGGTCTTTTTTTCTTCCCCCCCTTTTGCATGTGGTGAGCAATTGCATTTGTGCATCACTTGGTTTATTAATTCTTGTTATTACTATTACTATTATAATAATCTTCCTTTGTTATCCTATTAACTGTGTTTATCTCAGCCTATGAGGTTTTTTCCATTTTCCTCCTTGTCCCCTTGGGGGAGGTGTGAGTGAGCAACTGCGTGGTGCTCAGTTACCAGCTGAGGTTAAACCACGGCAAGGTGGAAGAGTTTTTAAGTCCTGATAGCTTTTGAAATGATACAGTTTTAGATTTGATAAAGATTTAATTTTTAAAAATTAATTTTGAAAATAATTAGTCAGAATGTATGCTTAAAATAATAGTAAAAAAACCAGTAAAAACATGAACTGGGGTTTCATCACAGCTTCATATGCTAAACGGAAAAAGTGCCATAGTTGACAGCAGAGTTTAGAGATGCAGGGTGTAATGGTGATCTCTGCCTTTGTGGCACTTAGTGTGAACTTCTGTGATTCCAGATAGTAGCTCACAGGAAGGTATTCTGTGTGTCTTGGCATCCATAGCACAGGTGCTTCACAGTATTCATGAATCTGGGTTGCAGATCATAAATAATTGTGATTTGACTGTAAAAGAAAAAAAAAAAAACCCCACCAAAACTGTATTGAAAATGCAACTGGTTATGCACTTTGGCATCACTGCCTGCATCAGGGCTTTTTTGCTTGTACATTTGTTTGTATTTTCCCTGCTCTGCTTTATTTCTTAACTTCTTTTCATTAAGGTTTATCCCCTTGCATTGTTTTTATTTTCCATTAAGAAAAACTTATAATTGAAAATTTACCTCACAGATTTTTCTGTTTCTAGTATCATGCACTAGGGAATGCAAGGGGACGTTTTTTCCAAGTTTGGTGTGTCAGGTATTGGTTTTGCTCAATTGTTTACTGGTGTTAAGAACTAATCCTGTACTTTGTTACATTTATCTCCTTTAGTGAATTCTGTTCTCAAATGTCTCTGAAATTTCTTACTAAAACCGAGCAGGGACATACTTAATACCAGTTCTCTTCTGTGAACCAAGACCAAAAGAACATTTCCAATCAATTGTGACTAAAATCCTAAACTTTCTTCACTTGTGTCTGAACACTGTGCCCCTCATGTTCAAGATCTTCTGAAATAATTTCCTAGTCTTGACCAAACCTTTGACAAAAGTCTGATATCCAGGACATCACAGGCAAGTGAAAAAGATGTCCTTTTTCCACAGTTTATTTTGTCTGAATTGCATGAGTTACTGTTTACTGTTTAAAACTTAAGCATAACTATTCACTTTCAGTTACTGAGATGTGTTTACTGCCTTTAAGCTTTGAATCTGGAACCCATCAGAATTTTTACTCAAACCCTAGTATGGCATAGAGTTCAGAAAATTAAGCAGATGCTTAAATTAGGCAAACAAATAGGACTGTTAATTGCTCTATTTGGTTTAAGACTAAGACTTTTTTCATCCTCTACCTACTGTTCCTCATGTGAGCCAAAATGCAAATATTTCAATTGCAAAATTCCCAAGTGAATTAATTCCAGAGTGGAGAAACTTGAGATACATGGGAATTTGTGTGTGTGGTTTGTTTGGTTTTTTTTTAAAAAAAAACTTTTCCATAAACTCATTTTGTAGATAAATGTATGTATTCACACAGCGTACACATACATAACCATAGGTATGTTGCTCTACGGAATCATTTATGATTCAGTAATTTAAGGAACTTGCCATTGAATATCTTGCAAGAAGTAGTCCAAGGTACGGTCTGGATAGGAGAGGCAAAGGAAACAGGGCAGCAATTAATGAGTGAATCTTGGAGGAATCCCTAAAAATCCTGAAGACTTATGTTTTAGGAGTAACCGGCTGTTTCACTTCTTCCTCGGTTTTCCTACAGACTATTTTGATAGAAGACTTGATAGAGTAGTCCTCAGAGAAGGAGGCCATGAGGGAAAGTGTAATCTGTGAGATCTTGAAGTTGGACCTCAGCAGAGACTTTTTTTTTTCTTTTGTCAGAAGTAAAAGTGCAAAGCCAGAGTTTCTCCCCTGACATCTGCTGGAAGCAGGCTTGCCTGTATCTGT